CACAGGCGGAATACGCGACAAGCAGCCCGGCTTCGGCTGTCAAGGGGACATTGACCCCGACAGCCGGGGAAAGCTTGCCAACAAAAAAACAAGCAGCGGGTTGCGACTCAGGCCAGATCTGCGTCCAGCTGCACTCGCCTGGGGAGAGGACAGGGGAGGGTGATGAGTCTGCCCCTCACCCCCCTGCGTGTAAATGTCTGCGTCCCTCACACTGTCAGCACTCCGGGTCTTCTCCCCCCACACCTGGGTCCGCAAAGTGCCTTGCTTTTTGGACAGGTATGCAGCTTTCCCCCACCCCCCCAAAAAAAGAGGACATGAAGAGTTCCCTGCTCCAAAAAGGGTCTTTTAACATGTGGTTTAGGCGGACGAGGCCTTGCCAACCTTCTCCCTAACCCCCCCCCCCCCCCTTCCAATAAAGAAAGCAGTCTGGCGCTTAGAAAGGGCAGGGAAAAACCCCAGCTCCGTTCACCCTGAGCCACTTCATGTCTAGCAGTTGGAAAAATCCCTCCCTCCCCTACACACCAAAAAGAAAAGAAAAGGACTTCTCTCCTCCAGGACTTTCTAGGCCTGAGGATTCGTGTAGGAGGATGAAAGGGAGTCGTATTAGGATGAAGTGAGGAGGGGAGTGGGGGGGGGTGGAGAAATGGGGGGAATAACATTGGCCAGAGAGGGAAACAAATTTGATTTCTTTAGGCGATTTTTGGTTATTTATTTGAGCTGCTGCAGTGGCTGCCTTAAACAAGTCCTATCCACCACCACCCTGACAGTGCCTCCGTTTGAAATATTTTACTATTCCATACGTTGAAACGGAGGGACACATGTTGGTATCAGCAAGGTGTGTCTGCAGATTAAACAAGCATTTTAAGTGCAAACATTTGCAGTTCCGTTCCATTTACCTGGTCACTCCAAAAACCATTCCTAAACTTCAGAGGACCTTTCTGAGCATGAGCCAGCTAAAAAAAAAATGTGTCCCAGCTTCAAAGTTTGTTTTTTGTTTTGTTTCATTTTGTTTTAGTATACTTATCCCGTATGGAATCAATTATTTTAGTGTGCTAATGGCTCTATCCACAACATGTCTCCCTAGAGAGTCTTCATGCAGTCGCATTATAAAAGCTGTCATATGGAAAAGATGCACACAAAACATATAGTTCAAAGTAGATGTGTGTGTATCATAAATCAAAATAGTCACAATTGGTAGTTATATTCAGGTAACTGAGGCATATGTTATCTGCTTGGAACGAGTAAGACAGGGGTGGGCAAATGAAAATAGGATGGGATTCAATATTGACAGGTGCAGGGTGCTGCACTTAGGCAGTAGGAACCAGCAGCATACCTATAGGCTGGGGAACTCCCTTCTTGAAAGCACGGTGGCAGAAAGAGATCCTGGAGTCATTACCGATTCCAAGATGAACGTGGGACGACAATGCGAGGCCACGGTCAGTAGGGCTAACCGTACCTTGTCGTGCATCCACAGATGCATCACAAGCAGGGCCAAGGAGGTGATCCTCCCCCTCTATGCGACACTGGTCAGGCCACAGCTGGAGTACTGTGTTCAGTTTTGGGCACCGCATTTCAGGAGGGATGAGGACAGCATTGAGAGGATCCAGAGAAGAGCCACTTGCATGATCAGGGGACAGCAGGGCAGACCCTACGAGGAGAGGCTACGGGACCTGAACCTGTTCAGCCTCCACAAGAGAAGGCTAAGGGGGGACCTGGTGGCCGTCTATAAACTTACTAGGGTGGACCAGCGGGAATTGGGAGAAACCTTGCTCCCCCGAGTGCCTCCCGGAGTAACAAGGAATAATGGCCATAGGTTGTTAGAAAGTAGGTTTAGACTAGCCATTAGAAGACACTATCTTCACAGTCAGCACAGCTAGGATCTGGAACCAACTTCCAAGGGAAGTGGTGCTGGCTCCTACCTTGGGGGTCTTTAAGAGGAGGCTTGACGTTTACCTGGCTGGGGTCATTTGAGCCCAGTTTTCTCTCCTGCCCAGGGCAGGGGTCAGACTTGATGATCTACAAGGTCCATTCCAACCCTAAATCTATTAATCGAATCTATAATATCTAGGAATCTAAGATTGCAATACTGAATGAACTTATGAGGTTAGACCTGTTAAACAAATAGGGCTATTCTCACGAGTGAATAAGGTGAGAAGTTGATCAACAAAATGATCCTGTTCTGACTTGACAGCTTCTCACTCCCTCCCAAGTTATTCACCTCCCCCTTCCCCCCCCCCCCCCCCCCCCCCAAATAACTCTCTTCCAACATGTAAAATGAAGGCTGTTATGTTATCAAGGCAAATAAGACCATCAGTAGTAGTACTGTGATAATGCTAAGGATCCCTGGTGAAGGATCAGGACCACAGTGTGCTAGGTGCTAGGACTTAACACTCACTAAACACATTAAACAAACAGTTCCTTTCCCAATGACTCTACATTAGAAGGATACATTTTTACATGGATATTTTAAAAGAACTCCAAAAAAATAGCTTATAGAAGAGGCTGCACAACACCAAAGCCACAGAATCTAAATGACATTTAAAGATGCTGTACATAGAAATACCGATTCCCCTGGCATTGTTCATAGATGCTTTTCCTAAACAACGATGGAGAAGGAACCTGAAGAAAGGCATGGATGAGCAATTGTCAAGAGACCTATTGGCCAAAACTCCCCAAGAAAGGGGAGTGCAGAGATTGTGAATACTAACGTAACTTGATTATGGAAGAAGTTGAAAGGAGCTGAGGTAGAGGCAATAGGATGATAGAAAAGGGAGTTGTGGCTCTCCATTCAGGGTATCTGATACCTGAGGTTGTGTTTGTGGTCCCTAGATTGCAATACCAAGTGGGAAGTGTTTGCTTATCCCATGGTTCTGTGCTTTTGCTAGTTGCAACATGGAACTGTGAAAAAAAAATCTCCCTCCTGACTTACTGGTATTGAGGGGCAAGGATATGGGGACATTGCCTCCCGCGGAAGCATTAGATGTTGGCCTGGAACAAAACTAAACTCACTGCTAGAGAATTTACATCCCAGAGTTAAGTGCAACTTGCCTTGCAGAGAAGGAGGTCTGGGATCTCATCTACACCTAGCTTTGGAGTAATTGTTGCAAAGTCATTGAGATGCTGGAGGGTACTGTTTTTATTAGATATGCCTCAGGGCATAACTGACTCCTTAATTAACATAAGATTTTCTCTCTCTCTGGTAAGTCCCATGCTACCATCCTCAGTGTCTACAAATCAACCATAATAAACCCAAATGATATCAAAATTAAATACTGCAAAGATCAGGAATATGTCATCTCTGATGTACCAAAGAAGGAGAAAGTTAATTATTCTGGGTAATTTCAATGCTGTCGTTGAATCAGAAATCAAACCTGATAATGGCATACTGACAATAACATTATCAGTAAATATGACATTGAAAAGTGCACTGTTCTGATATTCCTGAAAATGTGAGAAAATTTTGTCATAGAATCATAGAAAATGAGGGTTGGCAGGGACCTCAGGAGGTCATTTAGTCTAACCCCCTGCTCAAAGCAGGGCCATCCCCAACTAAATTGTTCCAGCCAGGGCTTTGTTGAGCCGGGCCTTAAAAACCTTCAACAATGGAGATTCCACCACATCTCTAGGTAACCTGCTCCAGTGCTTCACCACCCTCCTAGCAAGAAAGTTTTTTTCTAATATCCAACCTAAACCTCCCTTTTCATTGCAAACACTATTTTTCAGATATAAACTCCAAAACTTCCAGGGTGTACCTCTATCCCAAAGATTTGCTTCTCATCAGACAAAAGAAACATTATTGATGTCAGAATTACCAAATCCATGACAGGATAGAACATGCTGGACTTTGTTCTCGTCTCACAAGACAACAAGGCAAAAAACCTCAGAAGAAGCTAAATATCTAGGCTTTACAATCTAAAAATATTAATCCTAGTTTGATGAGAGTGCTGAGAATATAAAGATTGCTGGATGAAAATCATCATGTATATTTATCTTGGCTGCCTGATAAAATGTCACTCAAGAAAAACACTTTTGAGAATGTGTATAACACTCTTCAGTCTAAATTGAGCTATACTTGATATTCAGTGGAGCAAAAAAGTGGAGGAGCTACATACAAACTGACAGAAGTGATATGAAAAAGTTTTAAGATGTTCTGAAAACAGCATGTACCTCATCCATGTAGTTCCATCTCTGTTATAAATTCAGACTGAAAAACATTGTAACTGAAAAGAACAAAACAATTCTAGAAAAATGGGCTGATCTTGACAAGAAATCCAACATTAGTAATGAGGCTATTGATCAATTACCTTAGGAAGCCATCAATTACATTCTTATAACTGAACCTACCTTCTTAGCGATTGTTACAGTAATGACATTGCTCTCCTGTGGCAAAACATGTCCTTCAGGCTATCCCAGCTAAGGTCTATATAGCTAATGG